CGGAAAGAGCTTAGTATGTATATAAGCATCTGTTTGGTCATCAGTTAAATGGAAGTAATAATATTTTCCTCAAAGGATTTTTGAGAGGGCAAAAATAACGTAGAAAAAGAGCCTGGCATACAGTTCATGCTCAATATATGGTACTTATCACAGATAGGTTTTTTGAGATCATCTACATTTGATCCTGCACCATTTTCTCCACTGATACTTGCTCTTGACTATTTTAATTCTGGTTGGTGACTCCACTACTAGATAGAAAAGGCAAAGAAGATAAAGTTAAAACTAAGAGAAGTCAATTTTACTCCTTGTCAGAGATGATAATAAAAGACTCATCAAGACATCACATATAAAGGAAGATTCCAGAGAGATTAAAACATTTAAAAATCAAATATGTAAAATTAAGAAATAAAATATCCAGCAATGTCTTTGTGAACTAAAGTTAAGAAAGATTTCATAAAGATTACCCCCAAAATACATAACCATAAGATGAAATTATGATGCATTTGACTATATTAGAATAAAAGATTCTTATTCAAAAATCATTAAAATTCATTGTCACTCAAAGAAGTACATCTGAAACAAAATCAAGATGAAATAGACAAGAAACCCCAAATGGAAAACAGAAAAAAGTACAAAAGATATGACTAGGAAATTGACAGATAGAAAACCCAAACAATCAACAAGAATATGAAGAAATGCTTAAACTCACTAGTAACCAGAAGAATTCAAATTAAAACAATAATGAGATATCACCTTTTACCCGTCAAAAATGTCACATTTTAGAGAGGCGAGTAACACCAAGTATTGGTGAGGTTGTGGAGAGAAGAGAATCCTCCCACACTGGTGGTGGAAATGTAAACAGAGAAAATGACATTAAATATGTGTATGTCCTTTGGCCCAGCAATCCCACTCACGGGTATAGAATCCAGATAAGTGCTTACACAGATTTTTCAAGGGAAATATATAAGGATACTCACTGCAATGTTTATGATAGTGAGGAATCTGTCACTAGGGGATGGATAAGTAAGATTGTCGGGGGGCCATACACTGAAATTCTATGTAAAAAGTAATGAATTAAATGTACATATAGCAATAGAGATATTTCTTTAAAACAGAGAACTGAGTTTAAAAACATAAAAAATATAATGGGATCTATAGCACAATACCTTTTACATATATTAAAAAGAAATATACACACAAAGCAACATAACCTCCCTATTCAAAGGTATATGTAAACACACTTAACTGGATGCATTTGAAGGAAGTGGAATGGGACTGGGGTCAGGGATGAAGAGAGAAAATAAAACATGAGAGGGGCCTGCCCAGACCCATGATGATGGTGTGCCAGGAAGCAAGGGGAATGAGGAGCTTAACTCTGCACCGGAGACATGAAAGAGTTGGAAGAAGAGGGCTTGTCAGGGAAAGAGATGAGAAACTAAAGACTAGAGCCACTACCTGTGTTTAGTCTCTTTAAGTTGGTGCCATACAATGTTAATTACTACTACTTTACAGTTTGTTCTAATACCTCATTCTCTGTCATTTATATATATATAAATATTTCAGATTTTCTTTAATATTATTGTCCATTTACTTTTCCAAATACATCTTCGTCTTTTTTAAAAAATTTTGTTCTAATACCTCATTCTCTGTCATTTATATATATATAAATATTTCAGATTTTCTTTAACATTATTGTCCATTTACTTTTCCAAATACATCTTTGTCTTTTTTAAAAAAATGAATTCTGTAAAGTATCACACTGTTATAGCAATTTCGATATATAAATATTGGCAGTATTTAACAAAATATCTAAAGTAACCTCAACAGAATTGATCAGTCTTTAACCTCTTTAGCTCTCTAGAAAGCAACAAAGCTGCCTAAAAGGAGGAGGGAAAAAAGTCATGTGACATGATCAGAAAGAGGCATAGGTTTTTGTTCTTGTTTTTTTAAACCAAGATTTTCTCTAGAGATATTTATTCCTAGATACAAGGTCCTTCCCATCTTGTGGACCTGATGTTCACACCTAGGATGAGTAAGACAGGGCTGTGTGGTGAAGCTGTGTGCAATAATGCCAGTGCAGGAGACATCAGTGGTGAAAAGAAAGAGAAACCAAAGGACACAGTGGCTCTGAGGCTTGACATAACTACATGAGGCCAAAAACCTCAGAGCCTGACATCTCTCTACCCGTAGATCATTTGCAATGGGCAGGCTGGTAGGTCTGGGTGAAGGCAAAATTAGAGAAAAATGTTGCCATATGGATATGTATACCTAGGATGGAATTTTCTTTTTATTACTCTGCTGAAGACACCCTTATTCAGTTCATGATACCCGGCTGATTTAAAATGTAAAGGGCATTAACTCTTTGCTTTCCCAGAGGAAATGGCACTTGATTTGTAGTAAGAACTACAGCAGTCTGTCTTCTTTTGTTGAAAAGAACAATTGTTAGCTGAGCACATTCTAAATTTCACAAATACATATATACAAGGGTACTTCATGGAAAGATTTGCATTATCTTGTAATTCTATTTTTCAACAAACTTTCTGAAGTATCCTTGTATGTATTTAGGCCTTCATTCAATACTAAAATTTTGCAAAATTCTGGCTTTGAGAAAATTCAGAGTTTCTCAGTTGAAGGAAAAGCAGGGAAGTAGGAGCAATGAGGAATGGGTTTGTTAAGTGATTAATCAGCATTATTGTGTTTTGAAATAATGCATGTTAACTAATTATGTAAATGACTTTTTCTTAGGTAGTCTTTGAACTGATGGTTCTACTATAAAATATTATAAATTATTGTTGTGATACATAGAATATGACTAATACATAAGGGAAGTCATGTAATTATTACTATTTCAGTGTTTTGCATTTAAAATACATGGAATTAGTTTTCTTTGGTTTCAATCATCCAGATTATACTACAACAAATGCTACCAAGAAGGGCAGAAATCTAAGAAGTGAATATTTCTGATTCTAGACAATTAACATTTTGAAAAACAGTGTTTTAAGTTACATATACATTTTCATTTCTAGAGCAAAAGGGCTACATACAAAATACAAAGTCATTTTGCCTACCATAAATACCCCTAGGATCCAGAGTAACACCAGCATAACTTTCTCTTTTGACACCTTCTGGCTAAAATAAAGGCAGAAAACATTCAGTTAAGAACATAATTAAATTTATCTGACTTGAATTCCTTGGATCAATGTTCTGAATTACTTTTTAAATTAAAAAATCCCTTTTTTTTCCTTTTTGAAAAAGCAAGTGCATATAATTATATGCATAAATGTAAGAATAAGACTTTCTGGCTATTTGATCAGAGCAAACACTTAAATAGAAGTTATTATAAGCCAGTAATTGGTCTAAGTGCAATGTATGTATTAGCTCATTTAACCTCTAAAAAACTCTGTGAGGTAGATGTTATTTTTTACTCCCATTTGACAGACAAGGAAACTGACACACATAGAGATCAAGTAGCTTATCCAATGTCATACTGCTAGGAAGTGGCAGAGCCAGGATTCAAAGCCAGGCAGCCTCACTACAGAGTTTGTACTTGGAAACCATGATTCAAGGATACACAAGAATGTGCCTCACACAAGAATGTGTCTTGCACAAAATGTTCACTGGAGTGAATTTCATAGCTGAAAACAGACTCAGAAAATGATGACATAGGCAGACCCAGGCTAGCTAGCCATGTGACCCTTGACAAGAATCTTATCTTTTTAAATGGACAAATCATAATTGTATAAGAATCTTATCTTAATGAGATAACATAAAAACATCCAGACGGTGGGTAAACAGTACTTAATAAGTGATAGTTTTTCTTCCTTTTTTGGCCTGTTTACTTATTTATAAAATGGAAAATTTTTCTAGGCTGCAAATTCTTTAAATGCAAGGGCCATGTCTTATTTATTATTTTATCTCTAGTACCTAGCATTATGGCTGGCACATCAGATTTCAAGACACTTCCTGAGTGTGACAGGAGAAAAAATGCCTGGAAGACATGTACCAAATTGTTAAAATTGGGTATCTCTGAGTATGGAGATTATGGGTGATTTTAATTTTTTTTCTCTGCACTTTTCCAGTATTCCATATTTTCTACAGTAAGCAAATGTCATTGTTTTATTTAAAAATTTACTTGTAACTTCAGATTTATAGAAAAGTTGCAAGAATAGTACAAATAAAAATCTGGGATAACCTTCCAGATTCCTCAACTGTGAACATTTTGTTACATTTACATCATTGTTTATCTTTCTTTCTCTGTCTGTCTTTTGGAATCATTTAAGCATAAGTTGTTAACTTTTTTTTTTCCAGAATGAAAAAACTGTTTTTAAAGAGAATCAGAAAAAGCATGTTTTTCTTACCACCACTCGTAATGTTTTCACTAAGATTTCTTTTCCAAATGAAGTCTCCAGTGAAAAATTGATGTTGTGTAGGCCAATTTCCAAAGGAAGCACCGTGAATGTCACCAAGTGATTGGAGGAGCCCTCTATTTTCTGGCGCACACATTTGGACGACTTTGTCCCGTGGTGGTCAATGGCTGGGCTTCCCGATGTACAGATTCCCTCCACAGTAGACATTTTAACACAGAACTGAAATAACCATGAGCGCAGAATTATATCAAAATACTTATCTGTAAGGAAGTTTACCCTGACTGTGCTGGTCTGGACACAAATTCTACACTGGTGTTTTATTTATTTTATTATTATTATTATTTTTTTTGTCTTTTTTCGTGTCCGGCAACGGGTCGCAACCCTCAGTGTCGCGCCCATACCGGACCGGGGCCGGCAACGGGATCGCAACCCTCGGCGTTGCACCCGCACCTCGCTCAGCCAGTGAGCGGGAACTGGTCTGTATGTGGGATCCGAACCTTCGGCGGGAGTAAAAATTTACTTGTAACTTCAGATTTACAGAAAAGTTGCAAGAATAGTACAAATAAAAATCTGGGATAACCTTCCAGATTCCTCAACTGTGAACATTTTGTTACATTTACATCATTGTTTATCTTTCTTTCTCTGTCTGTCTTTTGGAATCATTTAAGCATAAGTTGTTAACTTTTTTTTTTCCAGAATGAAAAAACTGTTTTTAAAGAGAATCAGAAAAAGCATGTTTTTCTTACCACCACTCGTAATGTTTTCACTAAGATTTCTTTTCCAAATGAAGTCTCCAGTGAAAAATTGATGTTGTGTAGGCCAATTTCCAAAGGAAGCACCGTGAATGTCACCAAGTGATTGGAGGAGCCCTCTATTTTCTGGCGCACACATTTGGACGACTTTGTCCCGTGGTGGTCAATGGCTGGGCTTCCCGATGTACAGATTCCCTCCACAGTAGACATTTTAACACAGAACTGAAATAACCATGAGCGCAAAATTATATCAAAATACTTATCTGTAAGGAAGTTTACCCTGACTGTGCTGGTCTGGACACAAATTCTACACTGGTGTTTTATTTATTTATTTATTATTATTATTATTATTATTTTGTCTTTTTTCGTGTCCGGCAACGGATCGCAACCCTCA